TTCGTTTGCATCAAAATTTTTCATGAAAGTGAAATTTTTTTTTATACTTGGTTATGAAATTTGTTTCCAATATCCAAAAAAATAAAAAAAAAAGCAGTCAGAACACAGAATTAATTTTCCCACCTAAAAGGTGGGAAAATCCTTTCCTTACACGCAGGGAAATTGGCGCGTAGAGGGAAAAAGAGTGGCCCATTTTCCATGCCAAATTGTTGCTGTCAAACACTACCAAAAGGGAAAAGTTGGAAAATGTTTTCTTTTTCTACCCATTTTCCATGCTATCAAATACACCCTAAATATATTTCACCCCCTTGACTTTTTTACTCCTAGCACTCTTGAATCTTCATTGTGAGGTCAACTTTTGAGTATTTGCACTTTAGTCCCCGAATTTTGGATCTCTTACAATGGAGCCCATTTTCACCATTTTTCTCCAATTCTTCATCAAATCATGAGTTTTACATATTGAACACAATACATAACAAATTAAGCAATATTTCATCAAAAGAATTACAAAATGTCATTATTTAATGCCCCAAATACACTTATCAATGAGGTATTACAAGCTCCCCAAATCACACGTGGCATCTTTATTGTTTCCGATCCATACATATATCCGTGGATCACCTCACATCTCAGCCTCACAGAAGTTGATAGGATTCCGTGGCTTTTGATGTGTTCAAGGATTTGAGTAAGATCCTTATACCTGCCAAATGGTCAGATGGCTTATACCCTATTGACAAGTAGAAGATACATATATCCATATAAACCAGTCATAGGCCATATTTATTTCGGATTAAAATCAGATTTTAATTGAAGTCAAAGTCAAATAATCAATATTAACCACATCTTTCATGGGTCCCACAGCTTTTCAACCACACATTTCAAAAATTTCTATCGCAACCTACTAAAAATCTAATTTTAATCCCCATCAAACACCCACATATTATCCTATCGCAACCGCAGTGGGATGGTGTTCCATCAAGAAGATGTGAGATCATATCTTCATTATACATGTGTTTTGTCTTTAAAGTCTGATGATTAGATAGTTTCTTTTGCTTATAAGTTCTGACTTCACGGACGTGCATGGTCTGTAGCCAGGTATTTATAGTTAGTTTCATAGGTGAACCATTCTGTTACTGGAGTTCTTGATATTATGCATATTAGTTTCAACTCAGTTCAAATATTCCATACTTATCATGGCTGGCTATATGGGTCCTCTTCTTTCTCTCCCAATTTGTAAAATCTGGTGATCCCAGTTCATGAAGAAGCAGGCAAAATGTTGTGATGGTTGTAGGCTACCACTTTCCTCCTTTATTTGGATTTGGACCGGGTGTGTTAAAGACAGAAAACATGTGGCACAAGAGTTATTTGGTCTTTGTATTTGTTTTGTAATATATTTATGAAATTAAATTAATTTATAATTTTCTTAGGTGCTATCGCTTTGATCCAGCTACAAGAAGACATGAAGCGACACCTTAGTGAAGAAGGAAACTATACTGAGGACGAACTCGAAAAATACATGGAATCAAACAAGAAGTTGATGACCGATTCCCTCTGGAAGCTTAATGTGGCTGATATTGAAGCTACGCTGTCCCGTGTTTGTGAGATGGTTGTTAAGGACTCCGAAGTTTTTGGTCAACTGTTTTATGTACCATTTTAATTTCTCCATTATGATGTATTATGATTTCCTTAGGTTCTCCACGAAAACAATGTGAAGAGAGAGGATCTTCGTCTGCGAGCGAAGGGTTTAAAAACCCTGGGCAAAATTTTCCAGGTAATATATATTTCCAAAGACATCATCATTTTCTTGTTATATGAAATGTTTCCATTCATTATATGAAATACGAAGCATATTGTTGGTATGCTTCAGAGGGCGAAGTCAGTCAATGGGAATGAGACTGAAAGTACACTAAATGACCCGGTCCACAAATTGAATGGAAGTGAACCAAGTAGCAATGCTTCTTCTTTTAATACGTCAGCAAGATCACCAATAGATGAAGAGGTATCTCACAACGCAGTAGCATACCAGGTAGTGCTTTCATTCCCCCTTGAACTCTCTGTCTCTTTGTAAAAGTTGAAGGTTAAAAGAAGATTTTCTGCTAAAACATTTCATCCCATTACACACACAAGAAAAAGGAATAAGAAAGAATCTAACCAGAGGAAAAAGAGAAAATGGAAAAAGAGAAAAGGCAAAGGTTCCAAGGAGGCACCCGTTTTCCTTATTTATTTGGAACTTACATTGGAGTTAAACAGAAGAAAGGGAGATGAGAAAATGCCCCTCGTGGTTTCATGTTCGAAACGAGCATACATCACTAAGGCTAATTATATGGTGTGACATTAGCATCTATGCTTCTTAAGTATATATCATTTTCTTCAGTGTATTTGGTTAATATTTTTCCTTCCTATAATGAACAAGAATCTATTCCACTAAAATATCTACTTTTTGAGGAAAATGTTTTCAAATTTGTTTCGATCAAAATAACCTTAATAAATTCTTGCTAACATCATCCAATGTTGTTTTATACATTAATATTTATGCAACTGCATTTTCCAGTGCCCATACGTGGAGGTTCCACAATCTACTGGAGTTCAATTCAATTTCCCAGTGCCAGCTGCGCCGCTTGGTGCTCAGAGACGTACATAAACATCCAGAGTTTGACATTTTTCGTAGCATTTGAACGGTACTGCGTGCTGTATATATTTTTCTTGTCAAATGATGAAGTTTGTGTGTATATTATTTCTTGAATGTGCTGGTATCATATTATACATGCCATTTAGAAATTCCATGCTGCTGCTGCTGCTGAAGCCTTTGATCGATACTTGGACTAATGTTTTATTGACAGTGATTTCATTTTCTTGAGTTGCATATTTTGACTCGCATGTTACTGGTTAAAACATAATTAGTTATGTTGTGACTTGTGCTGTCTGATATAGTCTTCAGTATCTTCCCCAACCCCTCCTCCCGTCCCCCTACTTTACAAGAACTCTCTCTCTCTCTATCTCTCTCTCTCTCACACACACACACACACAAACATACCACATATTTGATATTTTGGATTTAGTCGCACTCAGGGGCAGGTTGCCACACCTCAACATGGTTCTTCTTTTCCACTCTTGCCTGATTGTTGTTCAGCTAAAATTGGCCGTGAAAATTCTGGGATCTTTTGCCTCTTCAAGTACAGAATTTAAGTGCCCACAAACAGAAAGATTGCCCAGAAAACCAACTTTTACTTGCTCTCTCACTAATTAGGAGAATCGAGCCTCTGAATAGGTTCTATTCCAACCCTTGGTAGTTTGTTTAGGGACCCACCTGGCCCCAAGTAGTTTGTAAACTATGAATTGATGTTATTTCGTTGTGTATTGTCACTATTGTGTGCATGACGTGTCCATAATGGTGGGTGCTATGAAAATGAGTTTTTAATCTGGGAATGGAAACAGCAGAAGAGACAGTATTATGTATTTATTTTCCATGAGATGGTAGTGAAAAATTGAGTAAGGTGGTATATTCTTTGAGGGTCGAGGCATATTTATTTCAGATCCAATAATGCAATCTGGCTTGTAGATATGGGGGTTGTTGTGGCGGGTTTGGTATTTAAATTAAGGAAAAGGGGTGGTGGTATTTGAAAATTGGAGACCGAAATTTATAATTGGAATTCAGAATTGAATCTCAACGGGGGTACACATTTTATGTGGAGCCACCCAATTTGTATTAGAATCCTTCCGAGTCCACTGGTTAAAATTAGCTCCCATTTGATGGTCATTATTTTTTTAAAAATAGAGTTTTGAATAATGATTTTTTGAAAAATACGTGGTTAAGAAGTAGAGAAAAAATTAAAACTTATGTGCAAAATATTTTATTATATCAATGTAGTGGAACATAAATATGAGAATTAAAGAGTTGTTTTAAAGTAAGACAAACAAGGGATTAATTAATTCGATTGAATTTTAGCCTTTAAATGCCGACAATTATTTCAATTTTTTTCTTAAAATTATTTCTAATCATACATTTTTTCAATAAAATTTTTGCACGTAAATCTAATTTTATTTTATTTTTTTTTACTTTTTAATCATACAATTTTTTTTAAAAAATCATTATTTCAAATTTTATTTTCACGGAAAATTTATTCAAAATAATCTAAAAGCGTCAAAAGGTGTGAAGGTGAATTAGGAAATTTATATTTCACGAGAAATCTAATGGGAATTATACAAAACCATGCATTAAGTATTAAATCTTCTAAAATCAGATTGAAAGTTTGGTATGTCCAAAATCAGATGTTTTATAATTAAATATACAATATTCACACATTCAAGTCTTAATTAATTCAATCTTTCCTAACTCTTTCTTCATATATACTTCTCTCTTTCTAAGCAAATCGCCGCCCTCTCTCTCTCTACACCACCTCGTCGCAGTCAACACAGCTCCAACGTTGAGGTGCTGCAGTCGGGGTTGCTCGATGCTGTAGCCAGTGGCGCAACCGCATTGAGGCGCTGCAGTCGGCATTGCTCGATGCTGCAGCGTCTCTTTCCTCCGAGGTCTGCCGCTTCCAATTTCTTCATTTCCCATTCGTCTTCAACGTTCGATTATCTCTTCATCTCCCAATTTCTTCATCACCGAGGTTTGCCACTTCCAATTTCTTCATCTCCGAGGTCTGAACGATAGTGCATGTGTGAATATCGTGGCTGTAGCACCCAGATTGCGTTGGTGGTGTNATGTTGTGATGGTGGTCGTGGTCACAAATGGAAGTGCTGGTGAGGTGGTGTTGGCGGCGGTGGCGATTGTATTGCTGAGGCAGTCGTGAGGTAGTGTCGTGAAGGTTGGTTGTGGTTACAAATTTTTTAGTTAACTGTGACCATTTAATTGGTTAATCTGTGATCAATAAATAATATGTGACTAATGAGAAATATAAATTGTGACCAAGAAATAATGTATAACCTAGAAAATTGTTCATTTGTGACCGATAATTTGACAATTTACTAAGTTGTGACTTATAATATTTGTGATTTGTGACCGATAAATAAATATGACGTATAAATCTTTTTATCTGTGACCGATAAACAAATTGTGACTTATAAAATTTTTAAATTATGACCGTAAAAATCTTGATTTGTGACTTGTGACCTGAGCTGTGACTCTTGACTTGTGACTTGTGATCTGAGCTGTGACTTGTGACTGGGTTGTGACTTGTGACATGGGTTGTGACCGTAAAAAAACATGTCAACCGTACAAAAAAATATAGTGGAGTTGTCGTCGGAATATTCGCTGGAGTTGGAACAATTGCCGAAACCGGAGCAGTCGCCTAAAAAAATCATCGCCGGAACTATCGTCGGAATAGTCGCTGGAATAGTTGTCGGAACGGTCACCGAAATCGGAGTAGTCGTCGGAACGGTCGTCAGAAAGTTCGCCAGAGTAGGACGGTGATCGGAACGGTCGTCGGAGCTGTAGGTGTGGTGAATGTGGGATGAGTTAATTATATTATATTATAATTAAATATTTAATAATAAATTAATTTATTTCATAAATAAAAATTCAAAAATTTTTAATAAAAATCTGATTTTGGAAATTTCAAACTTGTTTTCTTATTTTTGAAATAGGTTAAACTTATACTCTTGAATGTGAAATTTTTCCGAAAATTTATTCAAAATAATCTAGAAGAGTCAAAAGGCCTGAAGGTGAATTAGGAAATTTAAATCACAGTATATGTTTTTATATTTTGACAATTGTCAATAAATTAATGATATATATCTTCAAAGTTGTTTTTATATCATAATTTACATTTCAATGAATCTGAATTCAAATTTAGCAAAACTCGGTATAATTTTAAGAGTATCTCATTCTTCTACTTATTTTCAACAACATATTTTTCATCGCATCAATAACTTTTCCTTCTTTTTCAACCACACATCCTCTATCAATCTACTATTCCAAAATACATTCTTCCAAAATAATGTGGCTCAAACACACTCTTAAAATACAATTTATGATCGTTGTACTTTTCTGGGACCCAATGGTGCAGTTGCTTTTAACTTGGCCGGAGGTTTTTTACGAAATTGTCATCACTTCTATCAGAAAGAATTTTATTTGGAAGGGAAAATTGATAGTTAACTCAATCCAATAAGGAAAAATAGAAAAATAAAAAAACTTGCTCCCCCGTCTAAAATGAGAACCAAACAAGCGCATTGTTCCAAAACATTTAAATTCACCTTTTGTCTCTTATGGATGTAAATTTATCCATTTTCTATTGAAAAATGTAATTTGCATTTCTTTATATATTTCAATTGAAAATGTTTTCGATCATTTTTAAAAATTAAATCTATTTTACATCACAATTGAAGACCTTTTAAATAGTCCACTTTTATATTTCGTACATTGCTAGTCAAGAAGTGATCCTCCTGTTGACTTTCAGTGCTACCTAGGAAGGGAGTTTCTTTCACCGACGGCGCTCAAAAAGTCCCAAGAAGAATATTTTTGGCAATTTTTTATTTTATTTTTGTTTCTAGAACTTGTGAAGTTGAGATGACAGGGTGGGATCTGTTTCATTTATTTTTTTTAGCATTAAAATTAAGCTTCTACGTTTTTGCTCTTTAAAAAAAAACAAAACAATATTTGACTCAGGCAAAAGTTAACGCAAGTACAAATCAAAGGATATATATAATTAGAATGCTCCATGCAGAGATTACTGTACATAAATATCTCGACAATTCGACTAATCAATTTAAATTCAATTTAAATTATGTCACAAGAGATCGCCAAGTACTAATTGACGTTTGTTATTCATATAAATAATTGCTCCTTACATGGCGAGTAGATGTTGGGAGCCCTGCCTTATGTGGCAACATAGGTGGAGTCTAGATGACCCCATCATAGGAGAGGCGAACATGTGCTTAACTGATACCGTGATGGAATGATTGACAAGACAACTCACTGTCATTGCCGTTTCTATACACCTACACGGTCAAATCCCACCTGTACAAGCTAAGGTTTGTAGGTATGCAAGAGATCTTAGCATTTAAAGGCCCTGATTGATGGATCGATTGATTGATTGACGCATATAACAAGAAGGGCTAATTAATCGGATGAAGCCACTTACCCTATCATCCAACGGATCTTATCCTTCCTACTCAAGTATAAAAACCCACACTTTGCACTATTCAAGGTTAATGCAAATCTATATTTTCAATCCAATATTCTTATCGCATACACGTCTGTTATTATAAGTGAGATCTCCACCTTTCTTTTGATCTGACCCGGTCTACATGGGTACAAGAAGTTTTCGACATGTGTTGGCCACATGTTTGATAAAATTTTTGGGGTCAACCCTTTAGATCGGAGTCCCCAAAATAAAGGGAGAATGCGGCCCCAAGGGTTCGCGCAGTACCACCCCTTGCAGTCACCCCCCCCTCCCTCCACTAGAGGCTCGAAGTTGGAAAAGAGACTAGAAAACGTGATGAGGCATATCCTGGCCAACCGTGACCTCCTTCCAAAAAAGGAAGGCCCCTGCTAGTTGGCTCCATGCGTTGGGTACTAACTGGGTAGGAGCAAGGTTGTACTTACTACCTATGGGTGAATCTGAAGAAGGGGTGTAAGGGCTGCCTCATCCCCCTAGCTAGAACGGCCTCGCTCACCTCTACACACCCCTCTCTAGGAAAATTGGCCATCTCCTCTGGGGTCGCTATGAACATCTCTATGTTATCTGGGATCCTATATCTCTCCCGAAAGGTCTCTAACTCACCCTCCCTTATATCAGTTGGCCACAAAGAAGCCCCCACCTAATGCTATAATCTATTGGGCCCTCGGCATCATCCGTACACTATGGGGTCCCCCATCGCCTCCATGATTCTTTCGGTAGGGATCATAGGGGGAATGCCCACCTCGCACAAATTAACGCCATGTCCATCCCCAAACGATCCCTCAGACGTACTCTTTTTTGAAGAAAAAGCCATCTAACTTAGCAGATGAAAAGAATGCCTCGGTAAAATAAATACTTACACAAGCTCTAAATGCCAAAAGCCGAAATACGGAGAAAATAGGGAATAACGGACGCAATGGAAAGGATGCTAGAAAAGGTAGTAATATTTTCCACAGAAAGGTTTGATGCTGCCACAAAGTGAAGAAAAGGAAAAAAGATGGATTTTTCAACCTTATATATGCGTAATGGGCGAGCCTTCACCGTTAGATCATCCTTCATTTTAATCTGGACCGTCCACCTGTAATACCATCTGCCAAGTTAACTTTAAAAGGCACTTGATCAAAATTCAAACCAAGGGCCCAGATAGAGTTGTGCTAAGCACTACCCATTAACTCGTGTAAACCCTGCAAGATTTGGGCTACCATCATCATTGCGCATTAAATGTACACGTAGCTCGAACCTAGGAAGTTGATAAGCCACCCAGCTGTCTTCATTAGGAACCAACGTGCCCCTTTAATCATCACGATATGCCACCTGGCCATCTCTCCAACGATCTCGCCTAACGATTTCATGGCCTCATTTATGGGCCCCGATCTAAAGGGGTTCGACATATCTCTCCATCGACCTCGCATAACACTTCTGCAGTTATTTAGGGGCTCTAACTTAAAAAGGCTCGGCTAAACCTTCAAGGTCTCACTTAGTGTTTTTACGACCCTCTAAAAACCTATCCTGAAGGGGTTCAGAAGATTTTACCCCAGGGCATTACTGAGCACTTTCACAACTTTGCTGCGGGCTTTGGCTCCTAAAAGGGGTTCGACAAATCCATCCAATAACCTCACCTATCACCCACCTGCCCTACGTTCAACTATCATATAAACTCACCCTTTGCCCTTAGAGCCTGGTCACCCGCTCGTCCACCCGGTCACCAAGTTCAATTCACCAAGTCGTTTTCCTTATTAGACTTTCAAGTCCACGCGTTATATAAATAATCACACTTGGACTTCGGGGACAATTGTTACTCATATAAATAATAGCTCCTTACATGGCTGGCAGATGTTGGGGGCTCTGCCTTACATAGCAACATAGGTGGTGTCTAGACGACCCCATATGAACAGACCCCCTCGCAGGAGAGGCAATTATGTGCTTAACCGATCCCGTGATGGAATGATTGACAAGACAATTCACTGCCAATGCTGTCTCTATATACCTACACGGTTAAAGCTCACTTGTACAAGCTAAAGTATGTAGGTATACAAGAGATCTTAGCATTTAAAGGCCCTAATTGATGGATCGATTGATTAATTGACGCATATAACAAAAAGGGCTAATTAATCGGATGAAGCCACTTGCCCTATCATCCAACGGGTCTTATCCTTCCTACTCAAGTATAAAAACCCACACTCAGTACTATTCAAGGTTAATGCAAATCTAGATTTTCAATCCAATATTATTGCCGCATACACTTCTGTTATTATAAGTGAGATCGCCACATTTCCCTTGATCCGACCCAATCTACGTGGGTACAAGAAGATTTTTTACATCTATTGGCCACGTGTTTGATACAATTTTTGTGGTCAACAATGTTCATTCTAGCCCTCTTCATTAGAATTACCATAGTCGGACTATTCAACAATACTAAAGAGCATGTAACGCTCCAAAATTTTACAAACACTTGAGTGTTACCAAAAATTCAATTTTCGCGGAACGATAAAATTATATTCTTTAAATAAAAATAACTGAAATATC